GAGATTAATACATGGAGCAACTTACAAGCATTTCATAAAGTCTAAACACTAGACACATTCTCATAAACTTAACGTCTGTTTTAACAACACTAACAGAAGGTCTGATGCAGAGAGACCATCTCCCAGCTTGGCCCCCACCACTCCCAACAGGCCCCATTCAGCAGGGCAGTTTTCCAAAACACTGGGGACTGATGGAGAATGGCGCGGTTTGTACGGGGTAAGGGGAGTCGAAGAAGAGAAGGCCTGTCACCCCCCGCCCTCCCCGGCACAAAGAAACAAGGAGGGAAATGACAGGACTCTAAGACTTTACTTGGCTTGTGCATTCACTTGTCTAGGTATCTCAGGGCTTGATCCTGCAAGATGCTGTGCAGCGACAACACTTGTTAACTTTCAGGCCCAATCCTGAGCTCACAGAAGCCAATGGCAAACACCCATTGACTTCAGTAGTGCAGGACCAGCCACTTTAGAGGGAGCTGAAGGCACTTCGCACCAGAAAGTGCTCTGGACTTTGCAGGACTAGGCCCTAAACTACTGTCTAGCTGCAGGATTGCTAGATTTTTAAAGTCAACAGACAGTGTAAAAGCTTGTGCACCCACAATCACTGATCAGGTTGGGATTCGCACGTGTGTATCACTGGAGCACCCACGGACCCATCATCAACCAGGTCAGGGGCCAACGGTGCTCAGTGCTGTACAAACTTTATCTTAAAGGGAGCAGGACTCAAGTCATCCCGGTGAAGCAACCCCACTGCCCTGCATCCACTGACCAGGAAAGACCCAAGACAAGTTCACTAGAGCCTGCAAGCTCCTGTGCATGGCAGACTCTTGCACTTGCATAGAGCCACTGACTTCAGTGAGCTTGCAGGATCAGGGCCTCGGTTTGGTTTTCAAGTTGATCTACCCCTTGGCATTCCACCATGCCAGGCCCTGGAAAACCAGCCGTGTTCATTTCGAAACAGGACTTTCCCACTAGCCAGAAGCACTGACCAGATTCCATTCATATGCCATCTAGCAGACAGGGCACTGGACTGGAACAAAAGAGCCCTAGGTTCTATTCCTGCCTCTGCCACTAGCCTGCGGGCTGACCTAGGACAAGTCATTTCATCTTCCTGTGCCTCAGTTTCTCCATTTGTATAATGGGGATAATGATACTGAGCTCCTTTGTGAAGTGCCATATAGGAGCTAGGTATTATTACATTAATATTTCCAAGTATGGGTCTAAACAGCAGAACAAATTTATACAATTGACAGTCATCCTCTGGATCTTACTGACTTCTATGAATACCACTGTTGTCTAGCTTGCAGAGTCACCCTAGGCGGCTAACATCTGCAGCATCTAATTCTTTCCATACATCTCTACATAATTATAGCTGGTTTCTTACAGTATCAGCACCCAGTTCTGCACTTCTCACTTAGACAAAACTCAAAGCTTCTGCCTGTCTAAGGAGCACAGGATCAGGCCCTTAGCTTCCCTCTGCCTTTACCGATTAACAAGAAATAACAGTTGGCCAGTGCACTGCGTTTTATTATTCAATTCCTAACTGTAAAGGTAGCTAAGCAATGGAACAAATTATCTAGGGAGGTTGTGGAATCTTTGTCGTGGGAGGTTTTTAAGAGCAGGTTAGACAAACACCTGTCAGTGATGGTCTAGATAATACTTAGTCCTGCCACAGGAGGGGACTGGACTAGATGACCTATTTTTGTGATGCATTCCCTGGGAAATGCAGTCACTTGAAGTATGATCCCTGCATTTTGACAGGTTTCAGAGTAGCAGCCGTAATTGGTTAGTCTCTAAGATCCCTTCATTGTTTATACTCAGAGGAGCAAATATTGGTCCCCACCCCAGCAGATACTGTGGCCATGGAGCGCCTTGACCTAGTGTGTTCCAAAAGAGCATGTGCGTAGTCTTCTTCTACACACGTTGCCCTCCTCCCCGGCACCCCCTCACAGCGGCCCTGAAAATTGGCCCTCGCCTCAATTTCCCATTTGAGTCCCCAGTAACTGCGTGGAAGCAAGTTCTCAAGTCCATCAACATTACTGTTAACCAAACACAATGCAGCCGTCCCTCAGAATGGGCCATATCACCCCACTGCAAGTCGTCCCTGAAATCATGGCTTCGGTCTCACCTCCTGGTGTCCTCCGCCAGACCTGGATTCGTTATTAGTCCTCCTTCTAGCAGGAGCGGCTGAACCACCCTAAACGTGGGGGACCACAGGCGCCCAAAACTGTGACCCCGTTTCCCCACCCCCACACTGCCCCTTCCCCCAAGACTCTGCCTTCCACTTGCTCCTCTCTGCCCCTCTCCCCTGTCGCTCGCCCTTACAGCTGGTAAAAAGTGGTGGGCCAATGGCCCCCTGTCCTGTCCTGTCCCAGCGCCTCGGCTCGAGGACGTAACCCTACTCTTCCCAAGGGGACAGCCACCGCCTCTCTGCTGGGAGTATCCTCCCTTCACTGTTCCTGGGGGTCCAGCTCTCCAGCAAGGAGACAGCAGCAGGTAACTTCCCACCCATCATCTGCTCCCCCTCCCTTCAGTCCCCTCAGGCCCTTGGCTACAGCTCTCTGGCTTAGAGCCAGCTGGCATCTCCCTCTGCTTCTGTTGCGGATGCTGCTGCTTTCAGCCCTCTCCAGCCCTGGCTCTCCGGCCTGGGGACAGCAGCCAGCAAACCCCTCTTGCTCCTCTCCTGCATTCCCCCTGGACCCCCCTTCCCTCTGTAGCAGCTCTCCTGCCTGCGACATCGCTAACATTCTGGTCTCCTTCTCACCAGGTCCCTTATAGACCCCCAGGTTCTGCCCCACCCTCTTAATTGGCCCAAACGGAGTACCTGGACCGAACAGGAGCTCTGAGCCCAGTTTCATGGAACAGGCCAGCCCCCTTGTTACAGGGGTGCTGGGACGTTGTGCCTTGGCTCCAGATCCCCTACAGACCACTCCACACCTCTCTCCAGCCTGCAGGAAGCAAGCACGTGGATCCATGACTGCTGGGCAGATTTTCAAAGGAGCTCAGCACCCAGCTGCTCCCATCTGCCTCATGCTATTCAGTCCTGCCTACATCAGGGAAGGGGTATGCAGAAGTCATCGTGGACTACTGCAGCCAAGGTGCCTGTGGGGTATGGAGTGGGCTTCCTTCCCCTCCCCCCGCCATGCCAACAGAGGTCCCAATGCACAGCCCAGTTCCTCAGTCTGAGCTCTGCATAGAGCCCTGCGCGGATTTGCAGGGCTCTTAGCTCTGCAGCTAAAACTGCGACCATTATATTTAAGCCCCATTTGCAATAATTAAATTAAGGCAATAACTTCATGTTTTCCAGCATGTTTTACAAGACACTGACAAGTTCCCCTAAGGACACAGATGCTTGTCAAGCTAACTTAACTTCTCTGGACAAGTCCCCAGCAGTGAATTACCTCTAGCAAAGAAGACTCCATCCTGATAGCAATGCAACACTGATCCAAACAACTTGAGTGCCTGCCAAAATCTGACCAGGCCATCACACACACAAAGGGTGTCAACAAATTCACTATCGGTTTGAGAAAGCAAGAGAGTGTTAAATCACGGAAAGAGCCAGTCAGTAAAATCCATTTCAAAGAGACTGTCAGGAAAGATATTCTGATAGGAAAATGCTTCCAACTTACTAGACGGATTCCGGCAACATCTTAAGTGCAGATATTGAAAATTAATGGATTATTAATTAATATTTTAAAAGCACTTTGAAAAGTGCTAGGTAAGAGGCAAGCATTATTAACAAACACCCATGTAAGCGATCTTACTGCACGAAACTGATCAGGATCCTGAAGATCTTGTAAATATTTGTTCCAATTCATGGAATGGGTCAATCAGGGGCATAAAACACCAGGGGGGGAAGAGAGCTACTTTAGCTAAAGGAATGGTTGGCACAAGAAAAAATGGGTATGAACCTGGCCATGAGTAAATTTAGAGGAGAAATTAGAAGATGAGATGAGAAATTCTAACCATCCGAGGAATGAGTACCTGCAACAGGTGCCTAGTAGGAGCAGTGGGGGCAAACAACCAAACTGATTTTAAAATGGAACTTGATAATTTATGATCGAGATTACATGACGGAGTTGTCTGCGATGGCCAACACTGGACTCGTGACCCAGGAGGTCACTTTCAGCCCTACGCTCTTGCAAACAGCAACACTAAACATCTACCTTCAGAAAAACTCCCCCATCGGATGGGCAAAGAGGAAAGCAAACCCGGCCAACTGCATTAGAGAAAAAGTGGGGAAAACCGATAACATACTGATGCGTATGAACCACAAATGAAGGTTAGCTGAATAAAACCTGACTTAGAAATTGTTCGTTTTCCTTATCGCTGATATTGTTTGAATGTGAGTAACACAAACCAACACAAAACACTCTTACCTCCACCAACCCCTTCAAGCTCAGGACAGAGGCAAATTGTATTACCAGTAGCCCTGATCCCGCAAAAGCTTATGTGGTTATCATTAAAAGAAAAGGAGTACTTGTGGCACCTTAGAGACTAACCAATTTATTTGAGCTCATGCTCAAATAAATTGGTTAGTCTCTAAGGTGCCACAAGTACTCCTTTTCTTTTTGCGAATACAGACTAACACGGCTGTTCCTCTGAAACCTGTGGTTATCATTGTGTATTATTTGTATGACCACAATACCTAGGGCAGGTATCCACCAGGACCCCTCTGGGCTAGGTGCTGTCTTCTAAGCATATGCAACTGCGCAAAGCCAGAACACAGGGACAGTTGCCCATGCGATAACTTTAAGCATGCGAGTGGCACGACTCAGCGGCTGAAAGCGAAGCCCGTGTCTCAAGCTTTGCAGGATGTGAGGCTGGTGCTTTAACGCTGCGATCTCCCCCGGCTGGTTTCGGGAAGGCGGCGCGCAGACTTTGGCCATGCCAGCCCCGCTCAGAGCGCCCGGAGCGGCCCCGGGGAGCCCGCCCACCCCAGCAAGCCCCCCGGAAAGAGCAGCTCCCCGGGGAGAGGCGGAGAGAGGGGCTGGGTCACTCACCGGCTGCTCCGTCCTCTGGCTCGGGGGGCCCCGCCTGCGGAGGGGAAGCCTGGGCCGGCGCTGGGGCGAGGGGCTGGGGCGGGCCGGGGACCCCGCGCTGGGGCGCGGATCGCTCTGCCCGGCCGCTCCGCGCGGCGCCCGCCCGGCTCTCAGCGCCAGCCGCCGCCTCCGCTCGCCTGCCCCGGCCCCGCGGCCCCGACCCCACCCCCTTGGGGCGCTGCCAGGCGGCTCCTTCCCTCGCACACCCGCGCCCACCTGTGCGCGGAGCGGCGCCAGCCCGCGGCGGGTCCCTGCCTGGCGGGGTCCCGCTACGAGGGGAGCCGCAAAGGAGGAGAGGACGTGGCAATGCACCTGCAACGCAGCTGGGGTTTGGGGGGGGCAGGGGGTAGGTCTGGCAATGCACCTGCAACGCAGCTGGGGTTTGGGGGGTAGGTCTGGCAATGCACCTGCAACGCAGCTGGGGTTTGGGGGGTAGGTCTGGCAATGCACCTGCAACGCAGCTGGGGTTTGGGGGGGGCAGGGGGTAGGTCTGGCAATGCACCTGCAACGCAGCTGGGGTTTGGGGGGGCAGGGGGTAGGTCTGGCAATGCACCTGCAACGCAGCTGGGGTTTGGGGGGGGCAGGGGGTAGGTCTGGCAATGCACCTGCAACGCAGCTGGGGTTTGGGGGGTAGGTCTGGCAATGCACCTGCAACGCAGCTGGGGTTTGGGGGGGGGCAGGGGGTAGGTCTGGCAATGCACCTGCAACGCAGCTGGGGTTTGGGGGGGCAGGGGGTAGGTCTGGCAATGCACCTGCAACGCAGCTGGGGTTTGGGGGGGGCAGGGGGTAGGTCTGGCAATGCACCTGCAATGCAGCTGGGGTTTGGGGGGTAGGTGTGACAATGCACCTGCAAAGCAGCTGGGGTTTTGGGGGGGTACAGGGGGTAGGTGTGACAATGCAGCTGGGTTGGGGGGGCAGGGGGTAGGTGTGACAATGCACCTGTAACGCAGCTGGGTTTTTTGGGGGGTACAGGGGGTAGGTGTGACAATGCACCTGCAAAACAACTGGATTTTACCAGTAATGGGGGGAGGGTGGTGCATCTACGAAACAGCTGGAGTTTCCTGGTAATTAGGGACAGGGAGCAGTGCTTCTATAAACCAACTGCATTCCACCAGGAAGGGGTGGGAAGAAGCAGTTCATTTGCAAAACAGCTGGATTTTACCAGGGGAAGAGGAGGGGAGGGGAGAGACCACTGCATCACAGATTTATTAAATGATTGTGTTTTATCAAATGCACCATTAAATCTGGAATAACTAAATGCCCCCTAAAGGCACAATAATTAATAAAGGCACAAAGCAATAAATGCACAATTAAATCGTGGATGACAGCGATGGGAAAGACCTGTTAGATCTTTCCTGCTGGCTGTTCCCTAGAGTCGGATCCAGTCTAGTTTTACACATCTCCAGGGATGGTGTTTCTAACCAGTTCCCTGGGGAAACTATTCCATACATCTCTCTGCTGAAGTTCTTCCGGATGGCCTGGCTTCCCTCCCCCAAGAGGCTTATATGCAGCTCATCTCTCTCACACGGGGCTGGAGGGTATACAGACTACATACCCACTGTTTATTTTTCCAAGATGAGTGGACGCTCAGTCTTTGGCAAGCCTGGGCACAGGTTGTAATTGCTGGGAGGGTGAGGGACTGGGAGCCAGTTGTCCTTTGTGACTCAGTTGTGAAATGCCTGGAGGGGGACACGCACATACCTGCAAGCGGCGACAGGAGGTAAATAGGCTAGCGTGCCACAACATATTCAGCCAAGGATCACGGCTGGGAAGAGACGCATTACCGGGCTGCAATAAGTGGGTGAAATGCTATGCAGAAGAACAGATTAGACGACCACAATGGCCTCGATATCTGTGACCGTTAACAGCCATATGTACAGGGGACATGGGCAGCGCAGCTGAGACAAACTTCTTCTAAGAGGAGGTGGGAATTCAGCTCCTCAAATGTTTGGAAGAATTTGCCTAGGGATGTGATGGATTCTCCAGCATTTGAAGTCCCTACATCATGACCGGCTGTCTTCCTAAGAGATGCGGATTAGCACAAGCACAAGTTCTGGGCTTGATGCAAGAATCAATGGTTGAAATCCTCTGGCCTGCATGTTCTGCAGGAGAGACGAGGTGGGTAAGGGAATGTCTTTTATTGGACTTATTTCTGTACAGAAGCTGGTCCAATAAAAGATATTAACTCACCCACCTTGTCTCGCTAATATCCTGGGACCCACATGTCTGCAACCGTGCTGCCCCCAACAATGGATGTTATGCAGAAGGACAGATCTGTTCTCACTTTATAATACATGGTCCTCCCTTCTTGGACCCGGGGAAGAGACCAGTCAGATATTAGGGAAATATCCAGTTAGATTTATTCTGTTAAATCATGTGATATCACACCACAGGTGCCAGAGCCAGATTGACAAAGAGCCAGAATACAATAAAAGCTCGGATTGAACCCAAACAGACTGTACCTCCAAGGCAGTCTTTATGGATGAGGCAGAAAAGAAGAGCACCAGCTCACGCACAGCATCGGTTCACCGTCATGATGGTGCTGGTTGGCACCTTATCGGTCAATGCTACAAGAGTGAATTGCACTCACCAGGTGCAATTTTTAAAATCCTTGTGAAACTCGCAGGTAGCAAAGACATGAAGCCGAATGCAGCCTCTGGCTTCAGGCTGCCCGTTAGCAGCCCAGCCGACAGGGAAACTCCGAGACTGACCCTGATCACAAGCCTCCGCTGGGGTGCAGTCAAACACACCGGGCCGGGATGTGTACATACCAGAAAACACACCCTGTGTAACTGAGCACAACACCGGCACTGAAATAGAGAGAAACGCCTTCTGGGGCAGGCGCCTGAATGCAGTGCAAGCCAGGGACAACTTCACTGAGCTCAAGGGGGTTCGACTGGTGTAAAAACAAAGTCAGTGAGAGAATCAGGGCCCAGGACCCTAACTAGACATTGTTTAAGCCCAGGAAGTCGGCCTGGAGCATGTCCCTTTTCATTAAAAGTTTTATGCAATGAAACAATAGAATCAGGAGCTTAATTTAAACAGCTTGCTCCAATGGGTCTCTGTAGTGATCAAGTTCTGTCTAGTCTGTAAGTTTATTGATTTCTGTGTATCCCACGCTCCTCTTAGACTCTTCTTAGCATGTGGAAAATTCACTCTTTAAAAACACATTATTACCCACATTGTCAAGTTGTCACCAACTCCAAACTCCCCAAGCCATGAAGTCTGGGGCTCTCCCTGCTCAGCCCAGCTCCCCATAGAGAGCTCAATGCCTCCAGACCTGCCAGTTGCCCACACTGAGCTGCAGAAAGTTATTCAGAGCCTTGCTCGTTTTTCTTTCCCCATATCTCCCCGAGCAGCTGCAGGCATTACTGGGACTGCTGCCCTGGCTAGGCTGACACACTAAGGATTGAACCAGGGACCTCCAGAGCCTTGTAGCATAAGCTGCTACAACTTGAGCTAGCGGCCATAACAGACTCATATCCTCTGTGTCTCGACAGAGGGGGGATCTGTAACATACCCTCCCCAGTGGGTTACATTAGCACCCATCCCTTCGTCTTCCAGCACCAATGCAGCACCCAACGCTCCAGCGGACCTTTCTGAGCCATGGCCTTCCCCCCACGGTGCTTGTTCATTGTGGACCGTGCCATTCTGCTATGGGGATAGCCAGTCTATATTGTACACAGCCATGCCAGCCTAAGCACCTCTCATATTCAGTACTCAGCAAGGCACCACCTCGGGGCAGTTGTACCATCTGGGGCCGTCAGCCAGCAGCAGCAGCCAGTAGCCTCATGTTCGGCATGTTTCCAGCTAGGCAGGAATAAAACCCTTCTTTGTCTGAGCATGGGGCTGCTGTCTGTGTGGCTGTCACAGATGACCCAGGGGAAGAAGGGAGGCGGGGAGAGAACCGGCCAGTGGCCAGATTCTCTTGGCTTCCACCAGCCCAGTCTGGAACTGATGTGGCTCCTGGTGGGAGAGGGGGCAGGGTGGACTGTAACTGCAGCACAAGCCCCCTGCAATCCCTGCTCTGCTGGGGTGCCCAGAGCTGGCTGTGCAGCCGTGGGTGGGCCAGGAGGAGGACGTGCTGATTCTGTGCCCCTCTCGGACATCTGCCGTTGGATGGAACTTAACACTGCTTCCCAGTTGTAGAAGCCCTGGGAGACGCAGCGGCAGCTATAGTGCGGCCAGCCTACCCCTGTGGCCAACTGCTTCCGGGGATGCAGCAGGCCCCAGTGCACAGAAGAAAGGACCGTGTGCTCCTCCTGTGGAACTGAATCTGGCCCTTTAATACCGTAGTGCAATCTGGCTTCCTAAGGGACTGATTGGGAACCTGAGTGAAAAGCAAATCTGTAAAGGAGACAGATGGGGAAGCGGCCAAACGAGAATATACAGAGTCAGTCAATGCTGCAGGGAAAGAGGAGGGCAGCCAAGATGCAGAGTGAAGTAATGCAGCCAAAGTGGTTAGCAAACGAAGCACGGGCAAAAGAAATAACAGCGAGCCAAGGGCTCCATTGATAAAGGAGGAGGGTGATGAAAGCACTGAGGCCTGTTAAATAGCTGCGATACTGAAATTATGTTTTAAAATCTGCCTTTCTTTGATTAAAGGAAATTGCCACAGAGGTTTAGCTGTTAGGAAGTAATACACACCTTGTAAAAACAGCTGTTGATAACGATCAAATAGGGGAACCCTTAGAACGGTCAGTACACACATGTCAGCAACTCCAAATGACAGGCATCACCAGGTGTTAAGGTCAGACCAATGTTCCATCCAGCCCAGAAACCTGTCTTCCAACGGTGGCCAATGTCAGGTGTCCCAGAGGGAATGAACAGAACAGGTAATCCATCAAGTGATAGATCCCCTGTCGTCCTCCCAGCTTCTGGCAATCAGAGGCTAGGGACACCCAGAGCATGGGGTTGCATCCCTGACCATCTTGGCTAATAGCCATTGATGGACTTATCCGCCATGAACTTAACTAGGGATTTTTTTTTAAACCCTGTTATAGTTTTGGCCTTCACAACATCCACACGACGCGTTCCACAGGTTGACT